TAAAGTCTTGGGCTTAAAATTTGGGGGCTGGGGGCTGAAGTACTACCCCTTTGTGGGTTTGATGGTGGGCAGTTTTTAAACAAGAGACATGTAAGAAAACTTGAGTTTGGGCAAGGTCTGCAGTTTGGATTTTGGGAAGAAAGAAGCAAGCTTCACCAGCATCACCTTGGATTGTTTTTGATTTTGGCCAGTTGGTTAATTGTAAACGCTTCGCGTTGCCCGCCTCGGCCCAGCCTAGTTTGAGGGAAGGGTCAGGAACACCGAAATCCAGTGTTGGGAAGGTCCGAATCTTACTGAAAGCTTGTGACCGCACCAGTTCGCCCGTGCTAGTTCGATGTTCGGAAGCCGCCCGTGCTAGTTCGGAAGCCGTCACGCTGGGCTGAGCCTGCTGGTGGGCTGGGAGCTGGGGGCCGGCCTAGTGGCTGGCATGCCCTGAGATGCGCCGGGGCCTGGGCTGGGCAGGCTGGGCTGAGGTGGGTTGCTGGTTGGGCTGGGCGTGAAGCTAGTCTCAGCCACGAGGCTGCGAAGCCATGGGTGGGTTGCTGGCTTCCGGGCAGCCGGACTACGCTGCTGGTCGTGCCTGGAACTTGGGCTGGGCGGGCTGGGCTGAGCTGTGCTTGGGCGGGTTGCTGGATGGGCAAGGCCTGTTTCATACACACTTGGGCCTGAGGCTGGGTGGCGAGTTGCTGGCTGGGGCCTGAGGCCAGTCGCAGACACGTAAGACACGCCAGCAGGCGGGCTAAGGGACTGGGCCTGAGGCTGGCATACTTTGAGACCAGTCTCAGACTGCGCTGAAGGGGCTGGGCCTGCTGCTGGAGGAGCTCAAGGCCTGGCCAGCCTGGGCTGAGCTGCTTGGGCAGCCGGGGCACGAGACTGGTCGTTGGCCTGAGTCTCAGACACGTTAGACAAACCTGACCTTGGCACGCTGGGCTGAGCCTGGTGGTGGGCCTCTGAGATGCGCCGGGGCCTGGGCTGGGCAGGCTGGGCTGAGGTGGGTTGCTGGTTGGGCTGGGCCTGAAGCTAGTCTCAGCCACGAGGCTGCGAAGCCATGGGTGGGTTGCTGGCTGCCGGGCAGCCGGACTACGCTGCTGGTTGCACCTGGAACTTGGATGGGCAAGGCCTGTTTCATACACACTTGGGCCTGAGGCTGGGTGGCGAGTTGCTGGCTGGACACGCCAGCAGGTGGGCCTGCTGGATGACTTGGGGTCAGACGCGAGCAGGAGGTCAAGGCCTGGTTAGCCTGGGCTGAGCTGCTTGGGCAGCCGGACTGAGGGGCTGGGGCACGTCAGACAGGCGTTGTAGCTGGCGGACATGTTAGACAAACCTGACCTTGGCACGCTGGCTGGGAGGTGGGGGCCGGCCTAGCTTTGGGGTTGGGTGTGAAACTGTTGCTGGGGGGGCGGGGGCCTGGGCTGGGCAGGCTGCGCTGGGCTTGCTGGATGACTTGGGGCCGTGCTTCGGCTAGGCCTGTTTCAGACAAGCTTGGGCCTGAGGCTGGGTGGGCTGGGCTGACAGGCCTGGCCAGCAGGGGGTTGCTGGTTGGGCTGGGGCCTGAGCCTAGTCTCAGACACGTCAGACAGGCCTGGCCAGCAGGAGGTCATGCTTTTCAGGCAATTGTCAGCACATTTTCAACAAAAATGGACGCCGACGAACCCTGAAAATTTCAAGGCCCGCCGGACAGGTTTTTGGGCCAGCCGACATGGGTGGGGGGGCCGGCAAAATTTTGGTTGGGAGGGGGTTGGGGGAGGGGAAAAGCGAAGATTCTCTTTGGAGAAATCTGAGCGCCCTTGGCCTTTTTGGGGCCGAGGCGAATTAGCTAAGAGGTAACTGCAGCTAGGGAGTTGCATCTTTCAGGGGGGGGCAATGCATCAAGACTTTATTATAGGGGCCCCGGGAATAAAGTCTTGGGCTTAAAATTTGGGGGGCTGAAGTACTACCCCCTTTGTGGGTTTGATGGTGGGCAGCTTTTAAACAAGAGACATGTAATAAAACTTGAGTTTGGGCAAGGTCTGCAGTTTGGATTTGGGAAGAAAGCATGAAGCTTCACCAGCACCACCCGGGATTGTGTGTGAAGTTGGCTAGGTAGTTAGCCAAGAGGTAACTGCATTTAGAAAGTTGCATCTTTCAGGGGGGGGACCATGCATCAAGACTGTATTATAGGGGCCCCTGGAATAAAGTCTTGGGCTTAAAACTTGGGGGGCTGAAGTACTACCCCCTTTGTGGGTTTGATGGATGGCAGTTTTTAAACAAGAGAGACATGTAAGGAAACTTGAGTTTGGGCAAGGTTTGCAGTTTGGATTTGGGTAGAAAGCAGCAAGCTTCACCAGCATCACCTGGGATTGTTTTTGAATTTGCCTGGCTGGTTGGCTAATTAAGAGGTAGCTGCAATTAGGGAGTTGCATCTTTCAGGGGGGGCAATGCATCAAGACTTTATTATAGAGGCCCCTGGAATAAAGTCTTGGGCTTAAAATTTGGGGGGCTGAAGTACTACCCCCTTTGTGGGTTTGATGGTGGGCAGTTTTTAAACAAGAGACATGTAATAAGACTTGAGTTTGGGCAAGGTCTGCAGCTTGGATTTGGGAAGAAAGCAGCAAGCCTCACCAGCATCACCTGGGATTGTTTTTGATTTTGGCCAGTTGGTTAGCTAAGAGGTAACTGCGGCTAGGGAGTTGCATCTTTCAGGGGGGGCAATGCATCAAGACTTTATTATAGGGGCCCCTGGAATAAAGTCTCGGGCTTAAAATTTGGGGGGCTGAAGTACTACCCCCTGTGTGGGTTTGATGGTGGGCAGTTTTTAAACAAGAGACATGTAAGGAAACTTGAGTTTGGGCAAGGTCTGCAGCTTGGATTTGGGGAGAAAGAAGCAAGCTTCACCAGCGTCAGCATCACCTGGGATTGTGTGTGAAGTTGGCTAGGTAGTTAGCCAAGAAGTAACTGCAATTAGGGAGTTGCATTTTTCAGGGGGCACCATTCATCAAGACTTTATTATAGGGGCCCCTGGAATAAAGTCTTGGGATAGGACATGTTGCACACAGCATAATTAGGTGGTAGCTTGTCAAGTTTGAAGCTTGCTTTTGACAGGAAGCAGCAAAGGCACAGGCCATGCAGATCTTAGCAAAAGCAAAGGCACAAGCAGATGAGAAGTTGAGACAGGCCCAAGAGCAAGCTCAGAAGATAGTAAGCCAAAGCAGCACCACTGAGGTCAAGACCAGAAGGTCCACCAGTGACAGCTTCAAGACACCAGAAGGAAAGACAACAGCTTACAGAAAGATCAACAGTTGCCCACAGTCTGCGAGCCCAAGCCCAACCACAGTTGCTGAACAGAGCCCAGCCAGCACTGGCAGCAGTGGCAAGAAGCAGTTCAGCTTGAAGAGGTTTTGGGGGGGTGAAAGCACAGATCAAAAGCCAGTCATGGAGCTAGCTTGGGGTTCAAAAAGGCAACAAAAAAGCAAAGCCCAGCTAGCAGCAGAGCAGGTGCATGCAGAATATGAGCAAAAGCTTGCAGAGATACATGCAGAAACAGATGAAGGTTACTTAGGTTGGCCCCAGAAAAGAAGAAAGCTTGGAGGAAGACCAAGATTTGAAGAACAACCAGTTGTGCAAGCAGGCAGAGGACTCTTAGGAGGCAAGAAAAGCAACAGGAGAGCACTTGCAGAGCCACCTAGAAAAAGGGAGATGACTGCCCAAGAGAAGCTGGAGATTGCAATCTCCCTAGAGGAAATGAAGGCGAGCGGTGCTGATGAGGAGGAGTTATACAAGATGGCAGTTCAGAAGTACAATGTAGACAAAAGGAGGCTCAAAGATATGCATGCAAGAAAGGAAGAGTGGCAGATGCTCACAGTGAAGTTGGGAGTTGGAACTCAAGGAGGTGCCAAGAAAGGTGGCAAAGCAAAGAGTGTCAGGACCAGGAAAGGTATCAGAGCTCAGGGAGGAGGAAGAAAGAATGACTTTGCAGAGGAGGTTGAGAAGCTGCGAGTGTGGCTAGCTGAAGAGAGGAGCAATGGCCACAACATCAGCAAGAGAGAGGTCAGGGAAGAGTTCTACTCTCTCCTAGTTGCAAGGTCTGAAAGATGCTTGCTGAAAGCTGAAGAAAGCACAGATAAGCTTCAGAGGAAGTTGTTGGAGATTGAAGCAGCAAAGTCCCTGGAGAGGAAGAAGAAGTTGCAGAACAGCAGGAGCTATGCACAGAGTTACACAGAGTTGCTCTTGAAGTGGATGGAGGCAAAGTTCATGACCAAAGAACAAACCACCCAGCTAGCTCCATTGGAGCAAAAGGTGCGAGCACAGTTGACGTTCCAGTCCATAGATCACAAGCTGTGGCTCATGGGAGCAGCTCCCAAGGAAGAGCTAGAGTCAGCTCAAATAGTTTCAGATGTGGACCAGGTGATATCAAACCGGCACAGATTGTGCATAGGCAAGTCAGATCAAGTTCCTCTGTGGGCCAAAAGCCCATCCACCAAGGTTGTGTTTGCAAAGGAAGATCTGCGAGGAGTTGGGGCTGAGATGAGGAGGGAGTTCAACACTTGCAGGGAGGAGCTGAGAGCTGCACAGGAAGCTTGGAAAGAAGGTGGCCAGCAGGTAATCACAGCTGCAGATGGAGGTGAGGCAGGTGGCAAAGTTGTTGCTGGCAGCAGAGTTTTGAAGGGAGACAGTGCTGCTGAGAAGTTTCGCATAACCTATGAGGCCAGGCAGAGGGTGACCAACATAGCTAACAAAGAGGAGCTGCAAGGACATGTGCTTCCTGGACTGTTAGTTTTCCCTGGAAAGCACAACAGATTGAGCAATGTAGATGAGAATGGCAAGTACAAGAGAACAGAGAAGTTTGAAGTGAAAGGTGTGGAGGTGGAGCACCAAGCTGGAGAGAAGTGCAGAGGCTTAGCTTGGGCAGTTGAGCTGAGGAAGCAGTTTCCAAAAGAGTTTGAAGAGGTGGAGATCATGACGCAGCCCAGTTCCAACTGCGATGGAGTTTTGCTAGCATGGATAGTTGAAGAGCAATGTGAAGAAGAGATTTGCAGCTTGTGGGTCAGAGATTGCTTCAGTGCAGTTTTCCAGGAACAAGTTGTGCAAAGGCAGTTCACAGGTTGCCAAGCAAGTGCTCAGATCCTGGGAGAGACAAGCAGTTCAAAGACAGGTTGACACAGAGTGGATTGTAGGTGGGAGTGTGATGAATGGCCTCATAGCTTTCAAAGCTTCACCAGAGGAAGGAAAGCTTGTGCCCTTTCTAGGTGAAAGTTTGGCCAAAGCAAGAGGTCTGGCAACAAAGAGAATTCCCAACAGTTGGCTGGAGCCAAGGTTCAGCTGGGTCAAAGATGGAATTCCACCGCCTGCAGATTTTGCCCTGAGTTCCAGCGCCACACAGGTAGCTGACTTGATAGAGTGGAGCTACAATAACCCATGTGAAGATGAAGAAGGTGGAGATGCAGATGGAGGTGGGGAGGCCCTTGACATGCCCAATGAAGATGAGGTGGCGGCAGAGCTGCAAGTTCCACTTTGGAACAGTTTGTTCCTGAGGATGAGCCCAAAGTTGAGGGAGCTCACATCAGAAGGAAAGTTCAGCAAGATAGTTGGTAAGAGCTTGTCAAGTTGGCAGCCAACAAGGCAAAGCTGAAAGCTGCCAGGCAAGCTGCAAGGAAAGCTGCTTCAAGGTTGAGTTTTGCAGAGATCAGGAAGAAGCTGACAAAGAGGTCAAAGCGAGAAGCCATGGAAGACATAATTCCAGTTGCACAAGCAAAGCCCAAGGCAAAGGGAAAGCCTGCTTTGAAGCTCAAAGCTTCAGCAAAGTTGAAGCCCTCTTTGGTCCTCAAAGCTTCATCCAAATCAAAGCCAAGTTTGAAGGAGAAAGGTAGCCTTGTAAAGAAAGAGCTAGCCAAGAGCAAGAAGAAGGGCATCAAGGACAAAGCTCTGCTGCTAGCCTTGAAAGAAGATGAAGCTGAGAAGAAGGCTGCAAAGGCTGCAGGGCCAGTTGAGGACCTGCAGTTGCCTTTCAAGAAAGGAGAGGAGTTGAGAGTTGTGAAGGAAGAAGCAGGTGCCTTGCAGTACGGCAAAGAAGGCAGTTTTGCAGATGCACAGCCAGATGGAACAGCTTCAATCTTCACAGATCATGGTGTGATGAGTTGCCAGCAGCAGCACTTGCAGTTGAAAGACAGTTCCTGGAAGAAGGCAGCTGTGTGGAAGCAGTTCACACAGCTTGGCAGGTTGAAAAAGCAGGAGTTCCTGCAGCTTTCAGGTTGCATGCCAGCCCTGGGAGTTCAAGCAGAAGCAGTTGTGCCAGAGCCACCAAAGATGAACATGCTGGAGGGTGGCCACATAGCTTTGAGCTGGCACCTTCTCAGATGGCAGTTCTCAGGCCATGAGTTTTTGGAGAGCTGCCAGCTTGTGGATGCAGAGTGCGCCTACAAGATTGACAAAGAAGAAAGGTGGAAAGAAGAGATTCAGCAGCTGGCAAGCAACAAGGTGCACATTTTTGTGCCAGTTCTGGGCAGCCCACCTCACTGGGCCTTGCTAGTTGGCCACAGGTCCAGTCCAGATGCAGCCTGGCAGTTCTGCTACAGGGGCACCTTGGCAGATGAGCATGCAATAGCAATGCAAGCTCTCACAGCTGCCTCAGAGTTGCCAGAAGTGCCAGCCAGGTGCAACAGCTGCAGGCAAACAGCCTCAGAAAGTGGACAGCTAGTTCTGTCTTACATTGAGGCAGAGGTGGCAGAGCTAGCTTCAGAAGGCACAGCTGCCAGAGGCTGGCCAGGTGTGCTGGCCCAGAGCTGGGACAAGAGGTTGGAAACACTGTGCAAGCAGTTGCTGGCAGAAGTTGAGAAAGTTCATGCAGAAGTTGCCACAGCAAAAGAAAGGGAAAAGAAGCTTGAAGAGCAGCAGGAGCAAAGAAGAATGAAAGCCTTGGAGAGCCTTGCCAAGGCAAAAGATCAGAACTCTAAGACAGTTCAAGCAGCAACGACAGCTTTTGAGCAGAATTCACAGTATTTCACCCACAAAGATTTGAGCTGCACTTTTCAGGTGCTCAAAGTGCAGGTACACAGCCTGCCTAGCTTGCTGCCCAGAGAAAGCTTTGAGCTACTGGGTGAGGAAAGAAGCAGGTGCCAAGAGCAAGGTGCCAAAGATCCAAGGACTTGGTTTGGCTATCTCTCCTCTCCTTCCTCTCCTTCCTCTCTTTTTTGGTTTTTTTCTGGAAAAAATGGGCAGGGGTGGCGGGTGCTTGTCTTTATTGTAGGTGCATTTATTAATTATTTTGGGCCCCCCATTTGTCTTTATTACAGGTTCATTTATAAATCCTACGTGGACATTAGGTTGGCAGTGAGAGAATTGCGTGAGAATCTCGCCTGCTGAACTGTGTGATAGGTGTTTCTCAGCATGGGATTTGGAGCCCTGAGATTGCGCTGATTGGTTGGCAACCACTGTTGCAATAGTTTACAGGGTGTTCTACTAGGGTGCAACTGGAGAGGTGCTAGCCACTTCGCGACCTCTAAACCATCCAAGCCATTAGGGTTCCATCTTCACCAAGAAAGGTAGACGCAGATACCCCGGGGTGGCTGATATTTCCCAAAAAAGATGGTGCAACTGGGTTTAAGTCTATCGAATTTAGGCGTGCCTCATGGAATGCCAATGGGAAATCCCGGTCTGCCGGGCGGACTCAGGGCAAGCGATGGCTTCCTTTGGGCCGGGCTATTGGAAGGAAGGTGCCATGCCGCGTTTGTGGAATTTTGACTGTGCCACCTACGGCAGCTGGGGATGTGGGTTTACTTGTGTCCTCTGATTTCAGGTGTGGACATTGGGGATAAGGAAAGACAGTCGAACACTTCGGAGGGGGTCTTTTGGGCCCTCTGTGGCCCTCTCATTCAGGGTCCACGGGGTCAACTTGCATTTCTTGGACTTGTGACTCCAGGCCGGCGTGGCAGTCACCGAGGAGCGATAGGGGGGGGTGTTGGGGCCGGGGAGGTTTAGCAAGCAACGCCTTCGGCTCTGATCGAATCCGTCATCAGCTATCGACTATCGTTTGCTGCAGGTTGCCAAGCAAAGACTTGAGGCTTCAGCTAAGCAGAGGCTGTCTTGATCGTAGGGTGTCTTTCAGTCCTTGCCCTGAAAAGTCTTGCCTCTTGGGCATGGCAACTCGCTGGCTTGCGACAGGAGACAGTGGTCCGGGCGCTACGGGCTGCTGGTGACGACCATCCCTCGACCAACTCAATCCGCATCGCGTGGGCGGCCGCGCGGCCTGGACGCAATAAGATCCCATCTTCTAGCGCTTGGTCCCCACCAGTGGGATGCCACCGGCTGGCTTGCATCGTTGCATCCCCGCAAGCCAGAATCGCTGATCGCGCTGAAGATAGTGCCGCTTCGTTGGTTGCTTGAGTAGGATCCTGCCTCAGGCAGGCATGAATCATCGCCCTAGCGGAAACATGCCCCTTTTTTTTCCGCACACCAACTAGCAAACTTAGCTGGTGTGGGAGGTTTCCAAGCACCAGCCAGTTCCGCTTTGCTTTTGCCAAGGCAGGATGAGGAATGAGGCCTCGGAGTATTCCACACAGGCTTTGCCAGGATGTTAGCTCTGGAAGGCTTGAGTGGAGCAAAACCTCGTGCAGCTCAATGGCTACCGGCCACATACAAGGTGTTGTTGCATGTGCCATTGAGTTGGGGACTGACGTGGTTTCCAATTTGCCGCTGCCCAACAACTGCCTTTTGGACATCACTCGGGTGACCCGGGTGTGTTGGTTTTTCGGAACATGCGTCGTGGCAGGGTGCTGGCAGTTGACCATGGCTCGTAGAGGCTGCGCTCGCTGCTTTCTCGCATCCAAACGGGCCCACGCGCAGCCATTTGGCCACCCAGAGGAAGCGAGACTAAGGGAGGCAACTGCGAGTCACTCTGCGAATTGGAGCAAGCCATAGTGGCGCCTCATCAGATTGCACGTTTGGACACATGGGCTGCGGGTTCGTGCTGGACTGTTGTGGGTCCTCATGGCCTGCCATCTGAAAGGCTAAGCTTCGGGCCCCGAACTTGCCTGCTAGACAATGGACATTGGGGAGCCAAGAAGCTAGGGATGCTGAGAATCGCCAGTAAAGAGGGGGGCCAAAGAGCCCAAATATCCCCAACACCTCAGCCAGTGAGTGAAGCATGCGATGGCTCTGGCCGTTCTCAGTGGCTGCGGATGCATTGTCCCAACGGGGCACAGGCTGAAATGGGAGTGCGGGACCGAGGGACCGAGGGACCAGAACCTGGAACCAGGGGTGTGAGCAAAACTGCCGTCATTCGTCATTCGGTTTGGCCAAGCATAGCTGCGTTCCAGTGGTTTCAGTTGGGTCGCAATCATTTGCCAGTCAATTGCCCGAAGGGACACCTGGCACAATGTGGCTGTAGGTCAAAAATAGGTACCAAAAATGGAACCCTGGTAAATGGAACCAACGACTAAAACCTGCGGTTCCCCTGGTGGTTTAATTTTGACCCATACCCATGTGTCCCTCTTGGGCCAACGAAACGCCACGCGATGGCCCCGGTTCCTCGCCTCGCCAGGTTTGCGTCCAGGTGCACCGCCAGCGGAGGATTTGACGCCAGGGCCCGGGCGGGTCAAGATTTCCAGTGGACAAAGGGGGCCTGGTGGAAATGCGCGAACAGCTCTCGCCTTTGAAGCCAAGACAGGGCCCCTTCGAGTGAAGAAGTGGTGGTATCACAGTGGACAGTTTCCACAATGCACGCCGGACTGTAACCCCCCCCATTTTGCAACAAGCTGTCTTGTTTGTTTGAATATATGTGGGTGGTGCTGTGTGTGGGCAATGGCTACGCGGGGGTATGTGTGGGCAAGCGTTGGTATGTGTGTGCGCCCGGCTGGGCGGGTGGGTGGGTGGGTCTGTGCGTGAGTGGGCACGGGTGTGTGTGGCTGAACAGGCGTGTGGGTGGGGCTCTTGCATGGGTGCGCGTGACTTTTGTACCGTGGCAATTGTTTGGTGGTGGAATTTGGCTTATGTTGCTTTGCTGCTTTGCGAGGGTGATGCAGGGCCAGTTCACGTTCGTGTCAGAACGGCACGCCAGCATGTTTCTTATAGCTGTTGTGTTCCTGCTGAGGCTGCCACTCCTTCTGTGGGTGAAGGAGAACTGTCACTCGGCATTGTTCCACTCCAGCCGGTTTCTTTCTGAGAGTCGCCTCTCTCTCCACCACTCATAGTGGGATTGCTAAGTGCTCCCGCGAACGCATGAATTCGAGATGGATGCAGCGGTCCTTATTGACACGAGGCAGAGAGAGAGAGAGAGAGAGCTGCGTGAACGCGCCTGATAGCACTGAAAGGACTGCCCCCCCACCCACCAGCACGCAAACCTCCCAAGCAACTAGGACTGCGACACAGGCAATTTGCCAGGTTTGTGTTTACAGGGTACTTCTGAAATGGGGCGTTGCAATTCTTGACTCACCATTGTTGGCTCAGCAAGCTTTTGGGAGCAGGTGAGCAATTCGTGGACTGACAGTTTAAAGCCAAGGCGACCCCATACTCGTAGACGACCAGGCTGGAAAGCACAGGTGTTGAGTTTGTATGTACACAAGGTTGAATCAATAGCCTGCCGCTTTTACAATGAGCTCATGGGGATTAGACGAGCCCGCCACGTAGGCCTTGTTTTTTTTTGGGGGTAGAGCCAGTAATGGTGACCCAGGATTAATAAACCCGTCCCATAATTAGGGGGGTGTTCCCTGCAAAAGTGATGAATCCCCACTAAAAGGGGACTCCCCCCAATTAATCAACCAGGGGTTTATGAATCCGGGGTTAACATTACCAGCAAGATAAGTCGGGGCGCCAGGGGCAGGTGAATTCACCAGCCATTTTAGAACCTATTTTAGTGGTTGGATTTGGATGTTCACTGGGGGTACGATGTGGGTTTTGACCCACAGCCGGCCTTTCCCAGAAGTTGGTTGCAGGGCAGCGAAAGGAGCAACTGTGAAGCTCCGTGAGGGCCAGGCGTGCCTCCAACGAGCAGCTTCTTTCCCCGTACCTTTTTCCATGGGTAAAGTGGAAATGGCGGTGGGTCAAAACCAATGGCAGCATTTTGGGGTAGGTGAATTCACCACCCATGTTAGAACCTATTTTAGTGGGGATTGGGATGTTCACTGGGGGTACGGGATTTTGACCCATGGCCAAATGAGACTTGAAGACGTGGCGTGTCCCATCCTTTGTGTCCTTTGGTTTGTTTGTATATGTTTGTATACGGTCTCTGGGCAGGTGTGTTGTTCCAAGCAACTCGAAACCAAGCAGTTGGCATCACCTGTGGCTCCCTCAGCCTTTGTCCTCATCCCATTGCGCGTGATGCAGGCGCTGTTTGTGCAGGAGATCTCCGCTGGGATCAAGGGCCTCTTGATGTGCAATCCAGTCAGGTTGGCGCTCGTTCCCGAAAGCACAGAGATTTTAAACGGCACCTCGAAAGGGGACTTGCGCAACACCCAACATGGGTGATGCGTTGCTGTCGGAACAACCCCAATGGATTTGGCCAGGAGTTTTCATGGTCACAAACGGTGGACAATTACATGCCGGGTTTATGCCCACCAAGAGGTCCCAGATTAATGTTTGTCAGTGGTCGGAATTGAGGGACTTTCGAGGCTGGCGGCATGGTGCTTATCGAAGACATAGACTTAGAACCATTTTCAGGAAACCCCCGCACCAATTTACCTGGAAGAGGGTGCAAGTGTGGAGAAAGCAATAGGTGTGGACATAGACGTGCGTTTTTTTGGTGTAGAAACACACCACACTCGACTATGGCTATTTTAAAGTGTCCAAAAGTTGTCAATTGGAAGCGCGTTCGTCAATGCTTAGCTTGAGACCTGCATGTGGTATTCCAATTCTGTCTCGAGGGCTTTGCTCTTTGAGGTTCTAAGCGTGGGTTTGCTGCACCAGGCACGAGCAACAAGTTGCATTGAGGGATATGAATTTGGGAGTTCCAACATGCGGTCCAAGAGTAGGTCGGGTATTTGAAGTGTTGATTGTATTGGTTGGACAAGAATGTTTCAAGCATGGAAGCTGCAAGTGTGCGCCTGTCGCTATGCATGAGTCCTTTTCAGTTCAGTTGGGAGAAACATGGATAGCACCATGGGTTTCAGTTCAGTCTTCATCAGTGAAATCCGGCTATTTTTCTCAAGGTTTTTCTTCGACATGAGCTGAGATCTCAACGGCCCAACGGCCCAGGTATGATCAATGGCAGCCGGCACTTGCACCGGACGCTTGGCATGAAGCTCGCTTTGCCAAACCTTTGGCTGTCATTTTTGTTAAGTTAGAGTCCTCGAACAGTGGGCAAGGCAAGAGAAGCACTAAGCACCCTCAGGCCCTGGGTCGGTCCCCACGCCTTGGAACAGTCTGCGTGGAGGGTGCACAGACCGATCGACCTTGCGACAGTCACTGTAGCTTGTGAACCTATGCCCAGAACGCGCCATTTGCAGTAGGCGGTGCATGTTCATGCCATAAAATGCATCTATCTCGTGATGGTCATTGCAGTCGTGCTCGTCATTGCTCAGCATGGAAAGGGGCGCTGAACCTGGCTGGAGTGTGGTATTATATGTTAAAGGCTATAAAACTGTTTATGGATGTGACTCTACTGAACCCAGTGGAATGAAAGGCACGGCTTTGACTGGCTTGAGATTTCAGCCAACGCGCCACTGCTACTGATGAGCACAAACGTCCGGCAAGGGGGAAGCAAGTTATGCTCCAATAAGTCGGGGTAGTGGTCAAACCCAAGAATACCCAAGTATCGATGTTACCTCGGGCTGAGCTGAGCATCTGACTGCCAAGGTTGCGCACTGCATTTCTGACTCTTGCCAGCTGTACACTCCCCAGGATTCCTGATCCCAAACACTCACAGAATGTTTGCCCACATTTTCCCGGATTGAACAATGTTGGTATATGTTCCCTACATAGATTGTGCGGGTATGGCAAATATGTGCGTGCATGCGATACTCCCCTGCGAATGCCTCTTTGATTGGCGACTTCTCTGAAACTGGAATCAAACCCGAAACGGTTCTGATTCGTCCGCTGAACAAATGACCTTGCTTTGGATTCACACAACCTTTGCTTGTGCTATTAGAGTCCAACTCACTTCCTGAGTTGCTAAACTTTTCGGGGAGACCATTCGAGTGGTAAATGCAAAGTTCTGACTTCTTTTTTTACAGTGAGCCAGGTAGTGTCAAACAGTTGGCTTTGGATTGGCAAGCATTCGATTGTTGAATAGACTGCGATCGCAGAGGGATCCTGCCAGATGGTCGTGGTGTCCCTTGTAGGTTGTGCTCCTTCTGACCAGCCCAGTAAAATCCGGGCAAAGCGCCCTGGCACAAGACTCACACACCACTCCGAAAAATCCCTGAAGGGCGTCCCTTGTTAAGGCGCTTTGCGCGCACGGGCTGGCTGCTGGGAAGCGTGTCCCTGGAGAACATGGATCCTGTGCTCCGGAAGTTTGCGAGCACCGGCTGGCTCGAGGCTTAGCCCGGGGAGGACATGGAGGAGGCAAAAAAAAACCACGCCGAAAGGCGGAATGCCATTTGTTCCAAAATATCCAAAATCAGGTTTAGGGGTGGGTTAGATGGGGGGTTTAGCGAGGGCATGGATGATTTGGAAGGGGCGTGGACCAGTGGAGGAACCGAGGCCAGGAGGAAGTCCAACAAAGGCAACACCTTTGTCAACCTCCACATTGCTGCTAGCGGCCCGAAACCGAAGAAGCAGTCCTGTTTTCTGGTTGTCCTTCTGGCATTCCACGGTAGCGCACTAGCTGGGCTGCCACCAAGTGAGCGGTGCAAGATGATGCCATTGGCGGTTCGCTGCGGGTGGCATGCCCTGAAATCCCTGAACTACCGAAGCACGGTGTAGATCGCTCCACACCGTCCGTTGAACTCCACCAGGATGTTTTCTGTCCAGCGGGAAGTACAGATTGGGCATGCAGACCTAATTCCATCCAACATCAGACACAGAGCCCGAGCCCTGTCCAAAACTTCCAGTGGTTGGGGGGGTGCTTGCGAGGTTGCCCCCGACGGGCATCATGGCTTGGGATGGCATGTGCCGCAAGGCCGGCTGAGAGCGGCGAGTTGTTCGCATGTTCAGCGGGCCAAAGTGGTTCGGCCCAAAAATCCATGGGCTTCAGGTGTCCTGCGGCCATGCGCGGCCATGGGGAAAAAAAAACAACAGGTGCCCTCTACCTGATACGTGCTGATTGGTGGCTTGGATTTGAAGCCCTGGCGTTGGTAGACTGCGACATTCTTTGCGAGTGCTGTTGAGTGTGATTTATGGCGAAAGGCTTTGCACGTGGCTGCAGTGGTGTTTCAGATGGCTTGTCCAACGACGTCACTTGACGCGTGGGCGCACACTGGGGCTCTGCACAGGCAGGTCGTGGATTGGCCGGAAATGTTGAAATCATAATATTGATCAACACCTCTTTATTCATAGGGGTGTTTTTTTCTGGGGTTCGATGGGGAAATAGACGACTTTTGACCCCCCATATTGCCAAACAGGGGTTTATTAATCTGAGGTCAACATTACTGCATTTCTTCAAAGAGGCAGCCCATCCTCACGGCCAGGCGCAAGCGCCACGTACTGCTCTCGTGTCAATTCGTAAGCCTGTCCTTTCTCAGCGGCTCACCACTGGCTGTCCTCGCCTTGGCTCCAGGCTCTTGTTCCAGAATGGCTCGGTGAGAGAGCGAGAGAGCACCTGGCTGCACATAAACGTGTCATGTAGCGATTGGCGTGGGAGGGCCAGTGCTACCCCCTGAAAGAACGAAAAGAGAACCACTCACAATGGTGCTCGACTGGGGCCAAAACTGCTTTGTTCCTTCAAAGGGTCCCAAAGAAGTGTAGATACTCCCCTTCTCTGCAGCAGTTCGTCTACTTCCAGGCTATGGTGGGCATGCACATGGCGCACATCATTTCAAGGTCGCCCCTCAAGTTTCTTGTGGTCTGACTTCACACCTTTTGCGGGGACTCCCGCATGCAATGCCTTGCACTTGTTTAATACATGGACAAACTCCCTGCACCATAGGCAGACATCCATCCCATCCCAACTGGTGCCCAGGTTGGATTGTTTCCATGGTGGGGTTTTTTAGACCTTCATAGCTCAACCTGGAACCCTTTGAGGCCAGATCCTCATACCCCAGATCGGCCAAAGGTAACGCTTTTTTTCCGGGTGTTGGGGCTCCGGGGTGCATTGACCCCTAATGTTGACCTATCAATCAACCCCAGTCTATTATTAAGGGGGGTGTCCCCCTCCAAAAGTGAACAATCCCCACTAAAACCAGGTACACACACCCCTATTCATAAGCAGGCGTTTATTAAAATGCGGGGGTGTTCATTACCTTAGTTTGTTCGGACTTGGGGGAGACCCTGGTAGGTCTTGCTGCAGACCCGGAACTTCTACTATGCCTGGCACCGCCTCCTGGAGGAGTCTCCCAGGGAGTTGGGAGGGAGGATCTTGGAGTTCCTCGTAAAGGTCTTGGGTAGACTTAGGAGACATTTTCTTACATTTTGCATTTTACTAGTGACTCAAAGTGAAGCAAACAACAAGATATACATTCTACAACTGGGCCTAACTCTGATCGTGAGGTGAGCCGTCAGATTGGTGGGATATGTTCATTTCTGGCAGTTCAGCCCTGTTGAGCGTTGAATCGACGATGGTTGGCTTGTTGTTGCCTCAATGCGAAACCCAACCGAAACGCCCGAACCATTCTCGGCGTCCGTCCCCATACGTTTGGCACAAAAAAGCGCACGTCCGCAGGTGGCCGGGGGGCAGAATTTCCAGCTGTACGTCGAGGCAGCGCTGGATGCGGCCAACTCTTTGACCAGTTACTTCTTGGCCAAAGCCGCCGGGACGGACGGACTGGTTTCTCCAAAAGCTTGCGATGGGTTCGGTAGGCAGGGAATGAGAAATGGAATGACCTCTACAAACCATCCCCAACTGGGTTTCCTTGGAATCACCACCCGAACCCACCCACCACCCTAACCCACCCAACCCATGGCAAGAGGACTTGACCTCTATGGGTCTTTCCGTTTCTGGGGATTCCTTGCCTCACTATCTGTTGGCTTGCTGCTAGTTTCGAGGTCAACTTTGAATCCGTCCCCACCTCTCACTTCAGAGTATTTCAGGGGCTGGGATTTGTCGAGGGCGAGGTTCTGCGGGAGCCTGCCGGCTAAAATAACTCGAGCAAGAAGAACATCATCAACCGCTTGGCATGGTGGTTTCAGTAGCCGTTGCGTCATGACTCTCCTTTGGCAGGAAGTTGATGGGACTGAACCTGCCACAGGAATCCACGGATCTTTTTCGGATAAACATGAGTAGTGACGCCACTCATTTTGGGGGACGCTCCCTGGGGCAAACCCACAAGACTGATGCTGAACTTTCAGCGTGCAACGCACCATGGGAGATCAGGCATTCGGAACCTGCTTCAAATCACGAGTTGCACCCCCCCTTCATTTCTGTCATACCACCCAGCCCAAGGCGAAAACACCTGAGGCCTCATTCGGAGGCGGTCAAACCTGAAGGCTACAACTCTGGAACCTTTGATCCATGTGGCAATTTGCGCCTTCCCCCCCCCCCTGGCCGAACATTAGCAGAGGGGTCACCCAAACCTGGGTTGGGGTTGGGTCAGCGTTCCCAATTGTAGCTGAGTACTGCCTGCCTGCGCATGTTTGCCGCTTTCTACAATAGAGGCCCGGCCCCCAAAGCTGTCACCTGGCTAGAGCCGCTGCAGTTGAAAAGGCTGGGTCAACACTCGCAAAGGTTCCCCAATGAAGCACCACCTCGAAGGACACCCCGATCAACTAATTCATTACAGTTCCTCTTGTCAGAATGTTAGGTAAGGGAAAGGCACCACCTATCGCCACCTAGATGCTACAAGGTGTTGCATCCCCGACGGCAACTGACCACCTGGAGCTTTTCCGCAGTTATACAAAGTAAACCCAAAAGTATATTTTGGTTTTTCTTATCATAATTGCTTATTTTGTTTGTAGCAATGCGTCATGTCATACTAGTTTAACGTTAACATGACTATTAAACCAACAATTCAAGGCGACCAAAATTCAAGGCGACCGGAATTCAAGTCGACCGGAATTCAAGGCGATCAAAATTCAAGCGATGTTCATTTAAACAAAAACAAGGACAACTCATTGCTCCCCGGCCGAGGACGCCAGCGAACCCACCTACCTGCAGGAGCAGCAGCTGGCTATGCTGCTGCGCTCGGCCATTGCCATGAACTCAGGCGGAAGCGGGGCTTCCGTCGAGTCGTCTCGAGTTTGCCTGGGCCATGGCCCAAATCCGGGGGTTCGGAACCCCCCAACCCCCCCCCCCCTACAAACAAGGACAACACAACATGTTAGACTTTCCACTCCCCCCAACTATATAAAAAAGAACAAACATGTATACAAATAATACCTACATATTTATTTATGTTTGCATTTATCTATGCATAACCAAAGCAACATGTTAATTACACTTTCAATGTGGTTTCCCTTCAAAAGCAGCGAAGTTAGAAGTTCAATCAGCTTCCTATTTGATTTTCCTTTGAATTGGACAAGGCCCGGATTGTTTATCTCCAAAACACAGGTCACTAAGATCTATTGGGGCGCAGCTTTTTCGGGAGGGTTCCTTTTGGGATGGCGTAAACTGGAAACCAAAAGAAACCGCCGACTGGATCCTCTCAAAAAGCCGGTTGGTGAACATCAAAAGACCCGCGCGTAATAAGGGATCCGGATGAGATAATGTTGCCTGATCTCTGTACCGGCGCAGATTGCGAAAATGGACTAGAGTTGTAGCCAAAAGTTCAATGCCGGTTGGACCAATGCCACTATGTCATCAGCACGCAGGGAGAGAGGGAGAGGGAGCACATGGAGAGCGACGAGCGGGGTGCTTCTGATAACTCTTGAGAACCCAACCCGAACCTAACCCCAGGTTGATGGAGGGATATGGTCTTCCATGTTGAAGCACTTCCTCGGGCAGCACCCCTTCCAGTCCATCTCAGGCTTGAATAATTGGAGACCTTATATTGTCTCTAATTGGCATGTGCCTTTCCACCGGTGCCTTTCGAGTTTTCGCTGGGCACGTGCCAGGCATCCCTTCGAATCCTTGCACCTGCCAGCTGCTGCTTGGTTGCCATCGAGCTTGAGCCAAAAACTGGTTCAACCACCAACCCCCGGTGCCCCTCAAGACAAACCCGGAGCAACGCGCACGTCCGCGCGGCGGCGTTTTTTTTCGTTTCAACGTGTCAGCCATCGATTCGCCCAACCCCCCGGTTGCCCGCTGAGCTCAGCGACTCCGCTTCCGTCAGAAGTCTCACGCTGCCCTCCCCGAGGTTCTACCAAGCGCTGCTGCGCGGCTCAGCTGCGAGGGTTCGTTCCCCGCGGGTTTCAAAGGTCCGCAAGATTTTTCTGGGGGGTGACGCCAGGAGTTGGTGCCCGTTGGAAAGGGAGTGCCCTTTGTGGGAGTCTGGGAAATCGGATTGATCTTCCAACGAATTTCCAGTTGGAAGAGCCCAGCTGAAAGAGCTTGGATCACTGCATCGAGCCACTCAGACCTCCCGTGGCATCCTCTTTTTTCGTTTGTTCTTCTTGTTTTTTTGGGGGGAAGAAGTTGTGGCTTGGACGTGTTCTTTGTTTCCTTGTTTCTCCGTTTTTTGTCTTCTTCTTTTTCTCAGGTCAATCGGTGAACTTCTGGAAGGCATGCTTCAAGCCGGAGCACTTGCGTCAAGGTCCTTCAGGCCTGCAAACCCCCGGCTTTTCTCGTCTCCGCTCGTGAGAGTTGGCCGAAAACTCGGATCCGGAATTCTCCTCGTGGTTTGGGGCATCTTGCTGGTGCGATAGGCAGGGAATGAGAAATGGAATGACCCCTATAAGACCTCCCAAATGTGGTTTCCTTTAAGGGAATTTCCAGGTTCATTCCCACATTCCCCACTGAGCACCAGCATTTTTTCTGAAACCGACCAAATTCTGGTGCGTTCCATGTTAGTGCGGGGGTTTGCAACCGCATACCCAGCTTGCACATGTCCCCCCATCCTGTTTTGGACCACATACCCCACAGGCAACTCTGTTTTCCTCAGGGGGCTGGGATTAACAAATGCTAGCTTGCTTGGCGCATGCAACATCGGAACCAACACTTTTGTCTTGGCCGGGTGAGCGAACCAACAACAGAAACAACCACTGACTGGAATCAACTGTTCGACATGCGTTGACGAAGCGCCCCAAGCCGCAAGGGAATCCACGTTTGCCGCTGGACGCCGCAAGCATTTGGCAGAAACCCGTAGGAGATGTTCGTCATGATGGCGCCCTGGACAACTTGGTGCAGGAAGCCAGCCCCTGCACTATCATCAAGGAGCTTGCGGGTTAAGGAAGTGCCTCCATTGCTTCCAGTTGCCGTCCCTTCATGCATTGCCAGGATAGACACTTTACCTTTATCGCTGATTTAGAGGAACCCCGAGTAAGTCAGGTGTTTTAGCTTTGGAAAGCCTACGCTAGGCACCTGTTGGTGGGTGTGATTCCCAGTATTCAACAAGCTTCATCATTTTTTCAACTGGGGCAAGCGCATCCACAGCAGGCAACCAGGATCTTCAACTAGGTTTACATGATGGTTTCCGCTAGCGCGCTGGTAAGTGGGAGCACCCGAACAATACCGAGCTGCTATCTGTCTTGTTTTGTCCAAAATGCCAGTGAGTTGATACACCGATGAATTGATCAGGTCATGAGTGATGCCTTCCAGTTGGATGCGACCAATTGCAAGGCGCATGCCTTGATGGCTATTTGATCTTCAACTTCTTGGTTGAAAATTTGATTTGTCCATACCCAGTTAAACACTTCTTCTTTTTTGTGCAGAGGGATCAACAGCCACCCAGATTCAACTCCAAAGGGTTTCTCCATACCGTTTCTTTACGCATGCCTTTGTGAAGCTGGCAGGGTTCACGATCTGCAGGAGCACAGCTGGGACATGTGTCGCGGCAGCAATGCTGCGATGTGTTTGTCGGGTCGCATTTCAGGGATTCACCTAGCAGTTGATCAGAATTCCGTTCGGCCCCAAATGGCCATGGACCACTTTTCCCATTTCGTGGTTCAAGTCGAAGTTTTTGCGGCGGCTCCCCCAATGGTCTCGCTGAACTGTTGACCAGCCCCCTCAAGCTGGTTGCTGCATCGCCCGTCCTGAGGTTTGTGCCGCCTTTGGAGGCGGGGATGGTGAGGGCGGGGGATCGAAGCTCGAAGCTGCAGACATGGGACCTGACGGCTGCTTTTGCAGCCGGCAAAATCCATGCTAGGTCCTTTGTGGCGTTGCAAACCATCGATTTGGACCAGTGAGACCAAACCACGTCACGTGAACGGTGAACCATCACATGCTCACGGCGTCTCGTAGTGGAAGCAGCGTGGCTCAATCTTGTCGACCCGTCTTGAGAACGCGGCCGTCATGGGCTGCAGCACGAGCACAAGCCAAAAGGTGCCGCGGGGATCCTGTCTGATCCTTGAAGAAGCTAAGGGGCACCAGCTGCATGAGATCTACTTCAAGGAGTCGAGATGCAGCTTTCGGTCCATGGATGGCAGTACAGGCAGTGCTGGAGGCCCGCCGGTAGCAGTGACCCACAGCAAGCATGTGGAAAGGCTCGACCGCTTTCTCGAGCGCACGGCCAACAATTCCTCCCTTCCATTGGAGGTGAACCTGCGCAGGGAGAAGCTCAGCCAAAGCGACGAGGAGATTTGGCTCGATGAAGAATATGTGGTTTTCACATGAGTCAGCTGGGGCGCATTTGTCCGCCTGGCTGCAGTGAAACCTGCGAGCCTTCGAATATTTTCCGAACACGCCCGCGTAGATGAGCTTCTCATGTTCATCTCGCGGCCCTTTTTAGCTTCAGGACTTTCGGCAGGCGTGTAACGCCTTCGTGCATGCTTCGAATTTGACAAGGCTCAAGGCCGTAGACTGTACACACATTCGCCTTTGCTCCCACAACATAGGAGCACCATGGAACATATGCTTGGCGATGTGTTTTTTTTTTTGGGGGGGGGGCCAGTTTGAGTCGAGTGAGTGCTTTGGCGGTATTGCTGGTATCTCGCCGTCCCCTTTGAAGTCCCATACCTTCCGTTTATTGGAGAGGCGAAAGCTGCGAAAAAGAGGAGAGATCCGCTGAGGGGTTCTTTTGCGCGCGGCGCAGCTGTTGAGCTTATGGCGGCTTGGCGCGGCATCTTGGCGTCTTGGAACACGTGACCAGGGTTTCTTCGAAAGTTGCCGTGCCCGTGCACATTGATTGATTTGCTTGTTTGTGGGCCGGTCGAGTTCCATTGGAGCCGTCGGCTCGAGGCAGGACCTGGAAATTCGAGCCGTGTTTTTTGTTTTTGTTTAATATATATATATAGATATATATATATATATATATACACACCTGGCCCTTCCTGAATGCTCAAAATGTCCGCCTTTTCGCTACGAATTGCCTTTTGGGGCAATTGCGTGTGTTTTTTGTCTACGGCCTTTGTTTGCAAGCGCGATCTCCCCAAATCTACCGGCGAAAATTCCCGACCAACAGGCGAAAATTTCCAACCAACAGGCAAACATTCCCGACTGCGGCGCAAGCAGATAGGACCGTCGGCGTTTTTTTTTTGCGTAAAAGGCATTATTTCGCGCCAACGACCAAAAACATGTGTTTTTTGGCCAACGCCTAAAATATTTTGACCCCTGGAAGGGCCAGGTATTTTTTTTTGTTGGGGGGTGGGTCCACCAAAAAGTGTCGCTCGGAAAAACCCGCGGAATCGGTTTTTCAGACGTCCGACAGGCGCTGCTGCTTCCTGAAGAAGACCAGCTCACCGGGAATTTTGCTTGCCTCCCCAAGCGGATTGTGACACTCATGGTGTGCGGGCAGCCCCTCGGCAAATATCGACGGGGATGTAAGAATCGTGGATTCCTTGTGCCCAGTTACCTGCCCAGGGTGTCTTTTTGCCGCCTTTTGTGAGAAAATTGGCGACCCCCTCAAGCAGGAATCCTTCACCAAGAGGGGGGTCTATCAACCTTCCACAAGGTGGCAACAAAGCAAACCTGAACTTGCCCAAGTTGCTTGCAAGAGTTGTGGACACACGCTGCAGGTTGCATTTTTTTTATCGAACTTCGCATTTTTCAGTGAAGTCAACTCGCCTCACAAGCGCCGCACCCCAGCTCCGCAAGGTGGTTGCGCTCGGACTCCCGTGTCAGCTGCCATGTTGATGGGAGAGAGCGTAGACTTTGATCTGCCGAGGTACTGGCTGCACAGGGGCGACACCAAGATGGCAAAGAGGCACTTTCACGGAGCTAGCCAGATGCTGGTGATGAGTGCAAGGCTCAGGACATCTTAGGACAAGAGAACTTCGGGGCAGCCCTCATGTGGATGGTTGCGAGCCATGGTCGAAACCATTGGCTGTTGGTATTTACATGGGCATCAACATTCCACGGTTTCTTAGGTGGTGCAGGATTTTGTCCATTGTATTTCCCTTCTTGCTGGTTTTAAACATCACTTGCTGGTTCCGCTTGGTAGGGGTGATGTTTTAAGGGGAAATGTCGGGAAGCCTGTTGGATGGAGAGAAGGCGCAAAGATGTGCCCGGGTTGCTTACTGCAGGGGTGGTGGTGCTATAGTTTCTCAATTCATGGCTTTGCTCAGCTTCAGTTTCTTGTTCACGAGCTTGCGATGGGGGCTCAGGTGCAGCCCAGTGGCAACTGTTTGATGCGAGACTTTAATTGCAATCGATTGCTCCATCCCTGTAACATGTTTGCTTCAGGTATGGACTGCTTCGACACCTCGATGCAAAGCTATATCGATGGTCAGGCCGGTGCAGCTTTCTGTCTTCAACAGAACTGCGAGGTGAAAATGATGGCATGCGTGAGTGAAGGCGTGACTTCGTGCCGTCATGCGCATGCTTGTGTCTGTATGTGCGTGTCTCTGCTTCTGTGTTTGCTTTATGTGTTTGTTTGTTTGTTTGTTTGTTTGTTTGTTTGTTTGTTTGTTTGTTTGTTTGTTTGTTTGTTTGTTTGTTTGTTGTTTTGCTTGGTTTGTTGGTTTGCTTGTTTGCTTGTTTGCTTGTTGGTCGGTCGGTTGGTTTGTTGGTTGGTGTGTTTGATGGTTTGTGTTTTGTGTTTGGGCTTGTGTGTTTATTTGTGGTGTGGTGTGCCCTTGATTGTCTTTTGCTTGTGTGCCTGTGCTTGCGCGTTGGCCTTTGTGTGTGTATTACGTGTGTGTGTGTGTGTTTGCTTGCTGTGCTTTGCTTTGCTTTGCTTTGCTTTGCTTTGCTTGGCTTTGCTTGGCTTTGCTTGGCTTTGCCTGGCTTTGCCTGGCTTTGCCTTGCTTGCTTGCTTGCTTGCTTGCTTGCTTGCTTGCTTGCTTGCTTGCTTGCTTGCTTGCTTGCTTGCTTGCTTGCTTGCTTGCGTGCTTGCTTGCTTGCTTGCTTGCTTGCTTGCTTGCTTGCTTGCTTTGCTTGCTTGCTTGCTTGCTTGCTTGCTTGCTTGCTTGCTTGCTTGCTTGTTGTTTTGTTTGTTTGTTTGTGTGGGGTTGTGTGTTTGATTGTTTGCGTGGTCCTATTGTGGTGTGTTTGTGCTTGTTTGCGTGTTGTTGACTTGTGCTTGCTAATTGTATTTTGTTTTTTGTTGTTATTTGTTGTTGCTTTTTGTTTTGTTTTCTTCTGTGTGTGTGTGTGTGCGTGTCTCTGCGTTTGTGGTTATGAGTTTGATGGTGTGTTTGAGTGTTTTGCGTCTTTCTGACTATGACACTCTTGCAGGCACATGTGCATTTGTGGGTTTGCTTGCTGGCTGGCTTGCTTGCTTGCTTGCTTGCATGCCTGCCTGCCCGCCTGCGTGCTGGGGTGTCTTGTGCATGGCCAGGGCAACACGCACCTTCTGAACCTGCAGGAACTGCAGCTAGGCCTACGGTTGGTTTTCTCCAGCGAGGCGCCCCAAGTTGATTTAATGCACATGCCTGAAAAGACCTGAAGGTATCCTCCACATCCAAATGGGGGTGTCTTTTCTGGGGGACCCCCCGAAACGGTGGTTTTCCGTTTAGGTTCCCCTTACAGCCGCCGACCTCAATAAAGGGGACCAAATCCAGCTTTTTGCAAAGCCAACCCAAGTAGATCCAAGCAGAATCCCACTTGCTTGGGGCATTTTGGGCCTCTTGAAGGTGCCAAGATCTGTTTTCAGACAAGGTGGTGCAGCCTGGCGGAAGCGGAAGCAGGAATCTAAGATTGCCACAAACAGCACGAAACCAAGGAGAAACCCGGGCTACACACACCCTTGAGTCAGTGGATGTATATCCTGGGGAACTGGGCGAGCTTGTCAGGTGTGAATTTGTCTCATGCGGCCCCCAAGAGGGCTTCGGATGTGTTGGTTTCGCTTGAGGCCCCAAAGATGGCCCCGTCAAGAAGGGGCCTGCACAATCTGCACATCCGGCTTCCTCCATTGTTCAAGCGGGAACTCGTTTCCCGCAGATGTCCAGGGAGTCATTCATGTGAGTGTGCCAGTGTTGAGACACTATGTCCCTGGTTGCAGTAGGGCAAAGACCGTGCGCACTGCATCACAGGTTCTCAACTCAAATCATGATCCCGTTCTTTGGACACCCTTTACTTTAACAACCTTCAGGTCACCCTCAATTAGTGGTTTGGATTGGTGTTTTGGGGATATGAGCCCGTGTTTCTTGTAGAGGGTAAATGAGAAACCATCGGTAACCAAACCACCAGGCCCCATATCACCACTTAGAGGGAAGCTGAAACCTGACGTATAGGGTCGAACTCATTCGCTGAGCCTCATGACTTCGGCCCGACGCGCGTCAGTGGCGACAAGATTCGAAATTGAACGTGGCCTAGGTCCAGTGGCCAAAATGGAAGGGCCAACCTCTAGATCGGTTATATCGTTGTTTTCCTTTTGCCTGGAGGGAAGCATTTAAGCAACAAGTTTTCCACGAAACACTATTTCAAGCTACCAGCGGCAATGTAGCAACCAATTGCCATCTATCCTTTTCCCAGGCGGCCATCCCATCCCAACCTGAGGTTTGCATACTTGGGCCGCCTTGACCAAGATGCGTCTCCTTTCGCGCCCTGGCGAATTTTTCGGTTTTGGATGGCTCAAAGAAACCATGTTGACTGGAGTTCACATCAGACAAAAGACTTGGACCTATTTTGTGAGGTTTTCTTTTGTGTTGGTTGGCTTGGGCATTTTTTAATACAAGCAGAGCCACCCCCGAGAGTCACTGCGACACACCCTCGGACACACTCACTTCAACGGACAAAATATGTCCAGTCGTGATAGATTCCCTTCAAAACCAACGGGGGGAAATAAAACAGTTTCTCAAGCAAATGGAAGTATCTTATGCAACTGTTTCGCCAACCAAGGGCCGCTCTTCAGTGGCTGCAAAGAGCAGTGCCTGGCACTTTGGTCTCAAAACACCCTACGAGGAGATGGACCCCTTTTATACGGTGTTTACACTCCACATTGTCTGGACTTGTGACCTAGCTGATGGATTGTTCTGAGGCTGGCTGGGAAGAAAAAAAGCGGCGTTGGACCGGATCGCGGGAGGCGCGGGTTGCCATCTGTGTGACGCTCAATGCATGACTGGGCTTGCCGGAGTGAGATTAAAGTAATCTTGTTTAATCGGAAGTAAGTGCCATACTCAATCCCGGTGTAATGGGGAACGGACAATACTACTTACAAGTCTCGGTTTTAAGTTTTGGGTTTGGGTGGGCCCCTATCGGGTTTTCAGGTCGACGGTCGGTTGTAGTTTCCTATGGCTTTTCGGTGCTCGAGGTCTTCTCGAGCAAGTGGCCGCCGCAGGAAGGCAAGCAGCGTGCCGCGGCTTGGAAATAGCATCGACTCGCATTTGGGCATGTCCTGTTCTACTGGGAACCCTTTTGCTTGGTTTCCAAGGAAGGCTAAAAGCAAACCCACCCTTTTGGGCGTCTCTAGATGTGGAGATTAACCTTGAAATCGAGTGGTTGGCTTCCGTTTGATTTACTTTTTAGCACCATGCCAAAATTGGGTCCCTAAATTTTGGCCCTTGCTACATTTGGAGCGCAGGAAGAAATAAGAGCTAACCACATTTATGTTGTTTGAAATTGGGTATCCGGAGCAGAGGCGGCAAGATGGATTTGTCCGAATGTCCACGTTCGGCGTTTGTAGTTAGCTCCTCAAGATGTTGGCAACCAGGAGCAGTGCAGCTTTGCTTCCAGTCCTTCTCACAGGCACGGCCGAAAGTTCACGCTTCCCTTGGCACAGAGTCGATGGTTGACTGAGCTGGCTTTGCCAATGATTTAGAGAGGCAACGGTTCCCCACATCAGTGGGCCCCTTTTTCGTTGCCTTGCTGAGTCAAGACCCTCTGGACGCAACCGCAGAGAGAGAGAGAGAGAGAAACGGTTCCCTGCTGTGAAAGTCCGAGGAACTTTGATGATGCCGCTCCTACAGAACGCGGCAGTGATGCCGCCTCTGTGTTTTGACACGAACGGCAGCTCGCCTCAAGGCCATTGCACAAAGGCGGGTGCTTGGATCGCACCGGCCACCCGCCAGGTGGCAGAACAGCACGACAGGTGCCTGGAAAGGGAGCCACGTGCCTATTGTTCTTTTACGTCATATGTTGTTTTGAAACAGCTCGGGTGTTTGCCGCTAGCCTTGCAACCCAGTCTCACTGCTTTCAGCCGAGGAACGCTACACCTTCGGCTGTCAGGCCAAGCGTCGGATGCCGCATGTTGGATGCCGCATGCAAAGGTTCGGTTCGGAGGGCCCCATGGCCCTCGTGCAGCTGAAAGGGACCCTCTGTCAAGTTCCATGTTTGCTAGGCTGAAACTTCGGTGCATGTTGCTTGGATTTTTCGGACTTTAACTTTTTGCCAAATTAAACCATGGTAGTTTTCCATTAAACCACTAAAATTGACAAACACTTTTAGCAGGGCAGAAAGCCACCGAGAAACTTCACACCGCGAGGCTATGGGGATCGAAGGCTGCAGCTCTTTGAAACCCGGTGGCGTTTGGTCGGATGGGCTTGAAGTTTGGGTGTGGCCCGGATGAGTGCAGCTTCGATGGCTGTGGCTTAGGGATGGTTGGAGGTCGTTTTGGCCTCACTTGAGTTCCTGGACTGTATTCTTGTGGGGGAGGCCATTTCTTTGGTGCATTTTGCTTGGATGTTAGGACTTTAACTTTTTGCCAACTAGTGGGTTTTCCATTAAACCACTAAAAGTTAAACTTTTAGCAGGGGAGCAGAAAGCAAACAAGATTTGAGTGGTAAATGAACAGATTGGCTACTTGCTTGGGGGCCATGCACATCGGAAGTGGGCTCAATCCTGCAGCTTTGGGTCCAACATTTTACGAGAGCCGGATGGTTAGGTCCTGCGGCCAACATGCCATGGACCATCTCAACAAAACGACGGGCTTCGGTACCACAAGCATGTCATATGGATTTGTATTTTTGTTGAGAGTTGCGGCAAAAATGAATTGTCTTGTTGGTTCCCCTTCAAAAACCACCCCCAAAAAGGGTGCCCTCGAAAAGCATACACTGTTGGTTCTTTGAATCCAAGGACTGGACGGGCACTTGGAGTTTGATGCCAGTGCGGCCGTTGGCTGGCCTGATGCAGAAGACGGAGACCAAAGCTGTGCTGATCTATGTGGACAACCCAGCCGAGGCCTTGGAGAGCCCGAGGCGCCACTTGAGAAATCGGCTTGAGCAAGGCAGCGCGACTCCGTGTGGTGCGCTGGTCTTCTGGCTTTCAAGGGAGGGCGGCCCTTGAACATCCAGGGGGCCTGTTTTAATCCCCATAGGCGCTGGTGTCTAGGACGGCAATTGACGAGAACGCAAGCAGGGGTCAAGAGGGAAAGCACTGAGCCCCCATGAGTTTTCTACGCAAACTCCTGGCAAGCTTGAGATCTGGAACGTCACGGTTGCACGTGGCAGCCCCCTTTCTGCCATTCCGAAGTTTCGACTTGAGCGTGCAGAACGGGCTCACACCAGTTTAGTTTGTTTCACAGCCTCAATATCAGAGTGGCGGTGAATTAGAGGGTGTGTCCACATTGAAGTCACATGATCCTTGGCTCTGGCTTTGTGCAGCGTTACTGTGGAGGGACAACATCCAGTTCGCACCGGTAGGTATAGTTTATCCCAGTCACAGGGCAGGGGTCACTGGATTTCTTCATGATTTCTTCAACCGAGCGATTTACCAGTGGTTTCCATTGAACTCATCGCCACTTTTTTTTCAAAAGGGACATGCGTCCATCCCAAAGGAGTTAGTCACTCCGTGAGTCACTCCGTTGGCCGGCGAGGCTTTGAGTTCAGCGCTGGTGCGCTCGCGAGCGCACCGAACCAACATGGACGAACATACGCAACCCGCTTTGAAACCATGGGACACCGGTGTTCGTTGGTATTTAAGGGCTCGGTTTCTTAGGTGGTGCAGGATGTCGTCCATCGACAGTACTAAAAACAGAGACCGCAAGACAAGGAAAGAGGAAAGGCCAAGAGAGAAGCAGAACCCAAAAGAAAACCAAACGCAGAGCACAAACGGCCTAGTTTGGGCGTTTGATGTAATGTTCGAGACAGCTCCGGAGATCCCAACAAACATGTGCCCCGTACATGCCGGCCCGTGCCCTGTTTGCGCCAGAGAGCGCTTTTCCCCATTTAGAGGACGCGGGGTGTGTTGCGGCACGCGCTGTACATTACTTGTCGCCGTCGTGTGGACCCAACGCCTCCGAGTGCATGCCGGGAAAAGTGCTGAATTTCCGCCTCATGATAGACATTGGACTAATTTTCGCCGCTGCTATGAAGAAAGCGCGCTTGGCACTCAAAAACGCCGTTGGAGCAATTCGTGAATATTAAGTAACTTTTGCGAACGGCACACATCGCCGTTGGATCGGCAGCAAACGACGTTGGCAAAATCCAGTAAACCAGCGCCACCTTGCAAACAATAATTTTGCCCCAAAAAGGCTTGGCCAGAAATGCCTGCTCCAGACTGAATTCGGCATTTCACTGCAAGATGGCCATTGGCATGATTTGGACAAGTTTGCTTAAAGAACCGTTTCCTTGGGTTCCGTGCGCGGCATAGCGGCCCTTAGGCCTGGGGAACTTTGGGGCACTGCATTCACCACCTCACCGCGGTGACGTTCGCAACGCTTGGCGCCCTGGCTAAACACTTCACTCGTTGCCCAAGTTGGCGAAATGAACATCAGAAACAATGTCCTTCGACCCACAACAGTTGCTTCATGGGAACCCGCCAGTGGATTGCAGCAGGAGATTTCTCCTACCTGCGGTGTGAAACCCTCAAACTTTGGATGGGGCGATGTCTGAAAGGAAGCTATCAGGAATTGTCTGGCAGCCAGAGGGGACAGACTGACCTGCAATCGCAGACCCTCAGATGGTCTTCCTGATCTAAGAGGGTTCTTTCCACCATATTAGGGAAATTGGAAAATCTTAATTCAGTCCTCCCGCTTGCATGGTACCTGACACGGCCCCTTCAAGAGGAAGCTGATCTTCCAGATGCTCTACAGGTGCTACGTTGAGGACGAATACTTACACAGTATATCAGGCTTGCCTACGAACATGGAACCGACCTGGGGAGGATGGTCTGCCAGGGACCTCCGGGGTATGTTGCTTTCCATTGGGGTGGTTTGGGTTGCAACGTCTCCCTCTTACCCCCCTGCATATGGTCATGGACCCTGAAAGGGGGGAGTGTTCCCCAACAGGAGATTGCACAGACGATGGTTTGTTTGTTCAGTCCCTTGTGTGAGTGTCTTCCGCATTTTTAAACCTCCCGATTTCCTCTTTCCTTTGAGTCTCCCTGTAAAACCACCCAGAAGACTGCACCTTAAACAAGACCCACCCAATTGTTTGAAACCCTCCCTTTTCGGATGCTGGTTGAACCACTCAGCGATGCAGTCCCCGCAGAAGAGATGGGAACAACTGGTAAGCCTTGGTCCGTGGATAGCGCTGAGGGACCCAGCCTTTCCAACCCCAAGCCTTTTTTTGACCTCCATTTCAGCTCTCTTGGTGATGTGCAAAAGACTTGTCACAAAACGCAAAACAACAGGGCACAAAGGATGTGAATTGTCATAGTTTTGGTGAAGGACATCTTAAAACCACCAAAGAGGTACCCTAAAACAGGACCCCATGTTTCTGTTGAAACCTGGAGTCAGGCTCGGCCTTGCTTCGGGGCGGGGTACCGGAGATGCTGAAGCTTCGGGCGACCATGCAGCTGTACCTCTACTTCCCCCGCCGCGGTCTTCGGGACGCCGGCTTCGAGGCAGGGGGTGTTTCGGGGGGGCAGTCCCATATTTGCTGCGTGTGAGTTTGAGGCCCCAAGTGGGAGGATCGAGTCCCGTTTTCTTTTAAACGTGTGAGTTCTTGAAATTGGTGTCCTGTTTCAAGTGTAGTTCGGGCGCAAATTCGGGTTCACAGTTCGATCGATGAGTTTGGAGTTTGGAGGACTTCGAGCTGACTCATTCAACTGGATCAGGGTTGGGCGAGTCACCCCCTTGTGGGTATGTGACAGAAGGGGAGCCAAGGTGCAAAGGGTACCCTCAAAGAAGCACACACCGCAAGGAGTTGAAGCAACTCCTGTTGAAGCACCCTCCCTTTTGTTTGTCGTCCAAGCGAGTGAGGGTCTAGTGCTTCAAGCAACAGCTGCCTAAGCCTGGTCCTTACAGTCATGATAGTCTGGGTGAAACTGGCCCATGATTAGATTGCTGATGCCTTCCCAAGGGAAACCAATGGAGGGATGGGAAACCAACAGGAGATAGGCATTGCTCAAGCTTTTTCCAGATACCCTAGTCAACATTCCGTAATTCCCCATTTTGGGTGATTTGCACATCACCTCACGTGACCTTTCAAACGTACCAACTATTTTGACCAAACAATCGTCACCCTTGTGGGGCGCTTGGTGGGGTGATGTTCAAAGGATACAAGCGCGGGGAGACGCTGATCCAAATGTCGACTGATTTAAGTAGAACCTGGCGGATGGAAATTAGGGGGCCCCCAGCAAACAGAAGAAGGAAGGAAGAAAGGGAAGACAGGAAGAAAGGAAGAAAGGAAGACAGGAAGAAAGGAAGAGAGAAAGACAGGAAGAAAGGAGGAAAGGAGGAAAGGAGGAAAGGAGTCAGGGAAGGAAGGAAGGAAGGAAGGAAGGAAGGAAGGAAGGAAGGAAGGAAGGAAGGAAGGAAGGAAGGAAGGAAGGAAAGGACAAACGGCGTGAGAGATCTTTTCTTGAGTGGGACACTCCCCAACAAGAGTCAATCAGGTGATTTGTCGCTGATTAGAACATAGGCGAGCGCTTCGCAGATTTGCGAAGAGTGGTGCGGTGCAAACTAAATCGGACTTCGGAGATGTCTCCAGGCTCAACTTGCCACGTAGCCATTTTGGCTCCAGCACATCCAGTTTTGGCCTCCGGGCTGTGTTGATTCGCGAGCACTTCCAATCAGAGATGCGATTCAGTTGCGTAGTAAGGGTCTGGATACACGGGCACGACATTAATGATGGGACTGCTCGTGCTTTTATCGCACCGATCGCAAGTAAGGGTTCAGCTTGTCCGAAAAACAACTTCTCTGCGCCGAGCTCACCAGGTTGGCCACTTCCGGAGCTCGCGCAGCGAAGCTTGGCAAACGCCAAGGGGGCGCGTACCGCAGTACCGCCCTTCTGCTTCTCTAGGCATGATTTTTTGCCAAGTTGAAGGGACCCGGCGCCCTTTTTCTTTCACCCTCCAAACCTGTTTGGGGTAACCCCTCCCTTTGGTTTAAATCCTCGAGCTCACTTGAAGGGAGCTCTTGTGTCTGCAGGGGCTGCGCTTCTGTGAGCCGCGATCTGGGGCATGGATAAACAAGCGATCGGTTCCCCGACTGCCTGATGGCATTTGTGGCGATGTGTGATGCGTCAGCGGTTGGGTAGGCAGCCTTGGTGGATCAGTCTGTCATGAGATGAGCTCGCCTTATCCTTCACACGCACCATGGTCAAATCATTCCTCTTGGGTTTTCTCAGGATTGTCAGCAACCCTTTAGTAGGGACTTGGCCTAATTATGGAGTTTTGACAATACACATGCCTAGGTAATGCTTCCCTGGCTGTCTTTGCTCTCTCCACGGCCTCCACTGCTCATGTCCGACGAACAGCCCCTCATCAACCGCTCGGCACTGCCGCCTCCTTTGCAGGCGCGGGCTCACGTCTCTTTCCGCACTCGCCAAACGCGATGGGCTAACATTCTTGTTGGCTTCCCTTGAACAAGGACATTTGGGAAGGTTGTTCCTGGCAACATCAAGTTCGGCTCTCCAAACATTTGCTACTCCTTTGTGGTCTTTTCAGAAAAGCCCAGACGAAGTTAATGTCATTTAGATTTGCAAATTGGGTGGTTGGCTCCACTGCGCTTCAGACAAGATTGTGGGCGCAACGCTGCGCCGCGTGGGTGAGGAATCTAAAGGATAGCAATGGCCCCCATTCAAGTGCTGAAGTCATGATGAGAATTAGCCACTTTGTGCGTCGATTTTTGTTGCTGGGTCACTCTGCATGGTTCCTGAAAAGGGCTTCGATGGGAAAGTGAACCTCATTCATTCAGATTCCATGTGTGCTTTTGCGACCGTATGGCCCTTGTTTGGCGCGCTCCAAAGGAACACGCACAATTGGCATCAAACACCTCTTGACCCATGACGAGCTATCATCACTTTGGGAGGGTCATCACCTTGGGTCTTCGGGTCACATCCATGAATTTCAAAATCCCCGAGCTGAATTTTAAAACCCATTTTTCATGAGAATGGGAATCAACTACTTTGGCATCACAAACTGGACTTCAGGAGGGAACGGTTTGCGGCAGTTGGAAGATCATCTTTCCTGACCAGCTGGCTTAGAGACTCGCTTCCTCAGTTCCTGGACTATACTTACTTTTTGGATCTTTTGGGTTTGGACGATTTGGTGGTAAGAAAGGTTCAGACTTTTGTTGGGCAATCCACTCGGTCGGAAGCTTGTAAAGAATGCTTGAAGAATTTCTGAACCGGCCCACCCTGATTCCAAGACCTCAAATAGGGCCTAAAAGACCCCCACAGACCTCAAATAGCGTTTTTGCGACCCTAGCGGATATTCCAAGACCTCAATAAATGAGGTCCATGTGTTCCCTCTTAAGGAACCCAAGGGCTCGCAGTTTTTTCCACCGAAAGGTGGCGGATCTCCGAACCTGCCACGGTGGGGGCGTGTGGATCTCCCGGACCGGGAAGCTGAGCCGCGAGGAGCTGGATGCCTTCGTGCAGGCGGGCGCGAAGCCCCGAAGCGGCGCAGGGTAGTTGTCAAAGGTCATTTGCAATGTCCTGCCCGCGCTGTTCCCAAGTCCTTCCTAACCAAGCGATGTGTTATTTTGGAAGCTTGTGCAATGCCATCAGTGACCCGCCGTACAGAGTTTCAACTATCAACACTTGGACAATGAACGTTTTTTGTCACCCTTACGAGGGAGCCATCAATAATTTCCTGAAGAGTCGCGAAATCTAGCCTCGAAGAGGCTTTGCTTGATGCGTGTACCTGGGGGAAACTTTTAAAAAACCTAGGGCGCTGCAGGGTGGATCGGCCCGGGCCGTGTCCTGGTTCAATGGCTGGTCAGCTGGCACTTCTGGCAAGTGCCAGCTTTCGGCCTCTCTCAAGCGTGTTGGGTGCAAACGTTGTGCTGAGCACATTGGGACATTCCTGCGGCAAGCCCAGTGGCAGAAAGAAAGACACAGAGGCGCTGCGCCTGAAGCAGTGTTTGCATTCCCTGAGGTGGCTGGAAGTTTTCCCGGATGGTCAGGACGAAGCAAGAAGGACGCGTGCATAGCATGGGCATATTGAGGAACAGCTGGATGCGTTTCATGTCTGAAACCAACAGAGGCGTTGCGACATGCCTGATATTTTAGAGCAGGGGAGGCAACTCATGCTGCCTTCTTTTGTTGTGGGTGGATCTTCTGGATGCGCAGCGTGCATTGTGCCACTTTCGCTACGGCACATCTAGTTGCTGATGCTGTGGACCAAGGAACGTACAACCAACTCCAAACAACAGTTAAACAGGCAGGTTGAACAGCAGTTTAAAGGCTACCCTTGTAAGGCGAGTGGCTTTTAGACGTATCCTTTAAGAAACCCGGTGCTTCCATCTCACTATTGTTTGTGCAAGGTTTACTTGTAGTGTTTTCCTTCGGCTCACGGTTGGCCTCTGGATGGTCACTTTTCTTTTTTTGGGTTTTCTAGCGCCTGAACCATGTGGCTCTAGGTAGCCAGGGGACCCCTTTAACAAATCTGTCAACACACCCTACATTTACCCATTCTGTATTTGGACTTTCGTGTTTTTTTGCTGGGAAAACTCGTTGGGATGCTTGAGGCCTTTTATTCTGGGGTTCTTAAGGGAGGGGGGTGTAAGGGGAGGGGGTAGTTGGAACCCCCTAAATAAGTACAAGCTTCCCTAGCAATTCCTAGAGCTCCTTAGCCAACCCTAGCACTCCCTCCCTAAAAGATTCTTAGGCTCCCTTAAGCTCCCGCGCTTTGGGACAAACAATGGCTTTACCCCCTCGGCTGCAAGCGCTGCTGGCCAACCCACAATTCAGCGGGAATGCAGTTTGAAAGGGGAGGGCAAGGGAAGCTTGGGGAAACTCTGAAAATTGAGTGGGAGGCTTGTGCTTGGGGAAGCTTAGGGAGCTTGGGGAAGCTTGGTGAGCCTTCGGGAAGCTTAGGGAAGCTTGGAGAGCCTGGGGAAGCCTCGAGAATAGGAATCGGACCAATCAGCTTAAGTTGGGTTGCATAAACAAACGAGCAAAGGACGGCGTGCTTTGTGAAGAGACTAGTGGATTCAGGATTTGAACCCTGGGTTTTTTGGGGCTCCCTGGTCCACCCCCATTTATCCCCCGCTCTTACATCCCTCCCTTAAGAACCTCATTAAAAAAGGAAGAAAAAAGCATGTTTTTCCTCACGTGCGAGGAGTTGCTTCAACTAGTCTGGGGTCAAGGACGCCAAGGTGATGACTGCTTGCTGGAGCAAACTGGGTGCCTCCGTGCATCCCGGCAAGCAGCTGGATAAATGGTTGTGAGTCAAACGTTGCCCAAAATGGGCACCCTCTTAAATGGAAATAACTTAACTCAAACCTGCGGTCCAATTCCTGGTGCTTAAATTTTTTGCCCCATGCCCACATCGGTGCGCGAGCCCTACGAAGGCCACGTGTTCTTTGAGCCCAGGAAGGCCACGAAACGCACGAGGCAAAGTCGTCATCATGGTCTCGTCGTTGGGAAACATGTGTCCCATTTTTGCTTATGGTGGTTTAGTGGTTGGAATCCCCATTTAGCAGTTGCTTTTTGGTGGTCTAGTGGTTGGAATCCAACCACTTAGCAGCTAAAAATGCTAAAATTTGAGTTGCTGCTCCTCTTCCAACGTGAACCAAGAACTCTCTGGAACAATGGGTTTGGTAGGAATTGGCTGTTCGCTTGGTGGCTCTCCGCCCGCTTACATTGGCAAGCTGGATCAGTTTTCCCAATGAAGTGCGGTTGCCGCACAGTTCTGTGCATGCCTCGGTTTTGAGATCAAGCCCTTTCAAAGCGCACGCCTAGAAGATGAGTATATAGCCATAAGTATGTGCCAAAATAGGGGACCCCAAATTGGTGATTGTCTGATCTTCGCGTAAACCACTAAAAGGGGCACCAAAACATACGTACGGACTGTTTGTCGGCCGGGCTTCCAGCAGTCCACGAGCATAACCGGCTGCGAATCGCAGGCTATAGTGGGCTCAGTGTACAGTCGACAGTGCTGGTGGTCCGTTCAAAACGGGCAGAGCGACGCTTCTTGGTCATTGCTTCACGGTGGTTATGTGTCAACGCCGGTTAGGCGTGTTGTTCTTACTTTCGCTGGGGGCTGTGCTGGATTCTCCCCCATATGCGGTACTCTGGGGCATGGGAAGGCTTGCAGAGAATGGGTTTATCTCGAAATGAAGGCTTGTCCTCGGATCCATCACTGGCCTTCAGGTGCTGATCGTGCGCCGCGGCGCAATGGCACGAGGTAAACGGACAGTGGTGAACCTCCCTGAAGCTTTGAAGCTCGTCTGGATATAGGAGACAGTCGACCCTATGTGTTCTTACTGTTCTTTGGTTTAAGCACCACTTGTCGGGCAACTGTTATATGAATTTCCTCCTGGTGGAGTGATGTTTAAGGGGGACACGTCGGGAGCCCCGAGGAACAAAATGCACCAGTATAGCAATGAGAGAGCATGGGCATGGGGGATTTGACCGGAATGGCTCATGTTTGGCAACGAATCAACTCCGCTAGTCAGAAAGCATCATGACACTGCAACCACCAACCATTGTGCACTACATAGGAGCGCATAGGAGCACAGCCAGTGTCTTGATGAAATCAGCATCATAAAATCAAGCACCTGCTTAATTCAGCATCATCATGCTGATGGCACAGCCTCCCTGACCAGCGCCTTGACAAGCAGCTGCAACAGCACCTGCGTCTGCAATACAAAAGAAGCAGCGCCAGGAACCACATCACCTTGAGCGCACCTACTAGCACGCTAACCAGCACCCAGCCCAGCACCAGCGCCACAACAACTGCGGCAGCGCGCTGACCACCAACAACATCAGCAACCTGACCCGCCTGTGGGGTCAACCACCCAATATGGAACCCTCTTTGCGGCATCCTGCATTGCCAAGGAGCTGGATCTCAGCGCATTATTCAGCGGACGAGGCTGCAGCAGATGCAGAAGCCGTTTCAACTAAGTCAAAAAATTCGTCACAAGCGAGCCAGGTTCGAGTGGCTGCTGTGGAGATGGAGCAGTTCACCATAGGTGCTCGATTGGGTGGGACTTGGGGCATGGAACAGAGATGCTGCTCGAATGGCAGCTTTTTGCATCAACGTTTTGTCGACCTGTGCACCTTTGGACAGGCGGATAAGTCGGTGTGAGGAAGGGTTCTCTTTTTATACTACCTGGGTGCGAAAAAAAAAGAAAAAAACCCATAAGTAAGATAAGCCAAAAGGGAAATAATAATTCGTCATTATTTACAGACCGCCTATTCAGCACCCAGCCTTATTGGACAAATTGTGGCAGGTGGCCCCTCAAAGTGTATGCTGACGAAGGCATGCCAAACGGGTGCCGAAGGTCTGCTTTGTGCCACGCGAGGTGAGGAGATTGCGTTGGCACAGCTGGCAGATGTCTTCATCGGGAGCTATGGGTCAGCGAGTCCTGGCAAAATCCCAGGCGCTTGCCAGAGGCCTTGCGGTTAGGTCGGTTAGGAGGGGTTGCAACAAGAAGCAAGGCCCCGTTTCCGGTCTGTTTTGTTTTTTGGCTCACGGCCTCTCATTTTTGAAAAGGGCTGGAAAAAGCTCATGAGCCGGGCCAGGCTGCTTTAGGACGTTTAAAGGGCAGTTTGGGGTGTGTCCGAAAGTAGGGGCCTTTGAAGTTCATGTGGCTTACATTCAGTTTCCAGCTTGAGCATATCCCCAAGCGAAGATAGCTTCGCAGGCGAAAACTACATTCTTGGTTGCCAACAGGTGAACCCTTATTTCTAGGCCTTGGGACAAGCGAGGATGTGGTGGCCAATCTTCATGGCAGAAGGGTCCTGCGTGATGTGGCTGACTCCACACGTGAAATTCTGGCACCTCGGCTTTGGCTTCATAGCGCCTGCCACTGGATGCGCCTTATTTTGCTTTAGCGGTGCAGTTTGTCGCGCCCTAGGTCGGTTAGCCATGTTCATCCCGCTTGTTGGTGATGTTTGTCCCCTGTTTGGCCCCTTTTGGCAGCGTCCAAAACCCCTGTTGGCAATTCTGGTAGGGCGTTCTAGTATCTAATTTGTCACTGTAGCAAAGCTTGTATAAGCCCGCAAAAGACATTTTAGTAATTAGTAGAACCAACAAGTCGATGGGTAGGCGTTCAGAGTTGTCCCTGCTTCCCAGCGCGCCTCAGGTATCACAAAGGAAGGCCAATGGCATCTTGGCGTTTGTGTCCACCATTTGGTGGGCGAAGGCAAGCTTTCTGAATTCTTCAAGCGCATTGGATCATTATGCCGTGTGGTCCTGGTTTCTTTTATCGAATTTGTGTCCCGCGGGATACGGATTGGGATGTCAGGCTGGGACAGACGGACAGAAAGCTGCGTGCCTGGCCCAAGGATCTATCCGCGCCAGTTTGGAGCAACACGGGTGCCCTCGAATACCAGGGCCTGCGAAAGTTGAGGCGCAGTCCAGAGATGTCCGCAGCCACTGACCAGATCAGTTGACTTTTGCAAGGCAAAGAGTAGTCAGGTAACCCAAATTGGTGGTTCGGATTCGGGAATTGAACCCCTGGCTCTTGTAGAGGGCAAATGGGGAACCACCCCCCCACCAAACCAGCAATTCTCACCACCAATTCTGGGGAAGCTGAAGCAAGGCATGCATTTCCCCCTCAGTTCCACAAGCCATAGGGGAGGAACGTACTATTTCTTTTGTGCGCGTTTGCGCAAACGGCGGCAGCGCCTCTCCGGAGGCACGTCCACGTGGGGGGCGGGCTGCCACCACAAGGCACCCCTGGGGAGTTTCAGCTCAGTGAGGAAGAGGAGCCTTGGACTTGATTCAAAGCGTGCAGAGCGCTGCGGACTGGGCGTGTCTTGTTTTGGGATTCGGACCCCAAAATAGTGGCTGTTGCCAAGTTGTTTGTCCGCTTGAAGGTGTTGCCTTTCGCGAGCCAAGGAGAGGTCTGACCAGCTGGCATTCCAGAAATTGGCAGCTCGGAAGGCAGAAGAGCGTGCCAGCCGGGCCAAACCGAGACTCACTGCCTGCCAGAGCAACCGCGCCGATCCCGCACGCCCAAATTGTTGGAACATAGGGGGACAGGATGCGCAGCACATTGGCACTAAGGACGTTTTCCTGGATCTGCCAAAATTTGGCATCGCATTCAGCGAAGCGGTCGCCAAGTTCCTTGGCTGGCATCTTTGTTGGCTCGCAGCATCGTGGTGCTTGTCCCAATAGCCCCGGGATGGAAACTTGTCTTCTGGCTTGCCCTCTTGATTTGTGTGCCCGCAGGCTGTTCGCAGACCACGATGTGGAAAACGTGCGGACACGCGGATTCCAGCACTAGGGTGTCGTTTATGGAGAGGACTTGTTTTTGCCTTGTTTTTCAGGGAACTCAAGGGGAAGCAACCATTTGAGGCTAGGGCCCCGTCTTGAGCCAAGCATTGCCAGTGGTTAGCAGCAGCCGCTCTTCGTTATGTGAAGTGGGCTGTTTGCTGGCTTTTCAAATGCCACCTAAATGTTTCATCGGTAAACCTCGGAAAAAGTTTGCTGCATGCTTCATTCGATGGCTTATGGCTCAAAGAGTTGGCAGAGTTGGAGCTTCTCTGCCTCAGTTGGCTACCGTGTTCCCCTCCAAGTGATTAACCCCCCCACTCAAACCAGGGACACCCCCCCAATAATAAACTGGGGTTGATTAATATGGGTCCACATTAGAGGCCAGACAAATGCCACGTTTCACGCCCCAACCCCGCGACGGTTGCTTTTGCTCGTCTCACTTGGTCAAAAGCTTGCCTGTCTAAATCATCTGCTCACAAAACTGAGCAGCCAGCCCCGGCAAGTTGTTGCCTTCGCAGCGTGCCATGTCCTTCTGCTGGCGGCTGGATGCGTAGTCCCAAGACCAGGACTGCGGCCCGCTGCGGGAGAACCATATGCCATGACGCACACACACGCACACACACACACACATCATGTATGAAGCGGCATTCTAGACAAGAAAGCCAGCGGACCAGCAAGTACATTTCAAGGTTAGGTCTGCTTGCAGAGTGGCCGCTGATAACTATACAATTCAGCAAAACGCTGTACGACTTTCTCTCGACCAAACGGCTTACACGTTCTTCACGCGAGGTTCAGTCAAAGTCTGTGGTCAATTTGTGAGGGGCATGGAAACAGCTGTAAATTGTCCACACGGGAGTGTCTCAACATGATGCGCCCCCTTTTGCTTGGTATTCAAAGCGACGTCGCAAAGAAGCCAACCATTTTAGAGGAAGAAGCAGGCCTTTGGCAGCTTGTCCTTTCTCAACCAAGATCAAAATCAAGAAGTCTTTTGTTCTTAGAAGACCAAGGAAGTCTTGAGAAACACCCACCTAAAACTTGCTGGAACACTCAGTGAGTCAGGTTCCCATGTCCTGCGCTAGGCCCTCGGAGGAAGAGGTGGATTTAGCAGCAGCTCGCGCCAGGGCAAAGGCCCCTGGGCAGAGTGATCTTTTTTGGTTTCCTTGGTGATCCCCTGGTTTTGTTTGGCTTGAAAGAGGAAAACACAGGGGAACCTTTTCAGTCGAGAACGCCCCCATGGTGGTGCGGCTTGTGGGCAGGAATCCCTTGACGTCCAAGGGGGCTGCCAGCAGAGAGGGGAGAACCGGCCGCATGTTTGCAAATGAATGGCCGGCGTCATGCTTGTTGTTCTATAGTGAGTTAATTCCACGAAGGGAAACCAGAAATTCATCGGCCGAAAAAATGGCTCCCTTGAAAACAAGGGAATTTCCGCGCTGAATCCAAAAGGGAATCCAGAGTGCTGCGCCAGTTGCAGAGCTTGAAGTACAACTGGCCACGCGCCCAGGGCTTGTGCCACCGGTGACAAGTGTGTGCGCTTGTAACAAAAGCGCATGTGCGAGTTGGCAACTCAACTCGTTTTTTTTTTTTTGTGGTGTGTCTTTGGGGAATCCGAGGCTTGCTGGTGCTCAGCAGAGGATGAGGGAATCACACCCTATGAACTATTAACCATACCTTGTTTCCTTCAACTTGTTGATTCCTACTGAGAACCAGCAAGAAGAAGACCCCCCCAAAGGGTAGTTCTGCACTCAAAGGGGGTTGAACTTTCCCAACACTTGCAGAAGGCAAATCCCAACCAGCTCACCTCGGGGCCGGAGCGAGCTCAACATTTCTACCCTTGACTTTGAAATTTCTTGTTTAAGCTGTTGGATTTTCTTGCTGGTGCGATAGGTAGGGAATGAGAAATGACCTGAGCCTGGGGATTCCCTTAAAGGAAACCATAAGGGATGGATAGGGGTCATTCCATGCTGAGCATCAGCATGTTTTTTGGTGGAATTTGCAGATGTCTTGCCTGTCTCGACTCCGGCTTGCTCAGCCAAGCCTGTCGATGCAAGTTGCTGTTTGGAGTGGCTTTGTGTCGTTTGCGCTCGGAGGATGTGGGCCTTGCGTGGTCCCGCATGCTCGGTATAGGAGTATGTTCCGCGGGCATACATCGCCACCGGCATCCCCATGGCAAACTGAATCAAAAAAAAACAGCAGCCGAGCAACGGTTTATGTTTTTTACAGTATTTGACCATCATATTCTGTGGTAAAGAGGGTGACGTTGGGAATGCTCACCCAATCGCTATAGGGAAAATGAGGTTACTAAATACTCATGTCAGTAGGGACACAATGAGGTTTCTGACCTTCAGCAGGAGTTGGCAAGAGCATGGATTTGAAGGGCTCAAACAAATAGCTTTGACCCAGTGGTGCCCCTTTCTCCATGTTTTGAGATTTTACTCTTTTTTTTTGGGGGGGTGAAAGCCAGCTGCCATAACATCTCGTGCCCTTCCAGAAGCCGTGGCCAACTTGGGGGGGTTGAGAAGAATTCCGCAGGGCACATTTGTTGTTTGAATACTTGATGGGTTGTGCCTAAAATCAGGTTACCCTGAATTCGAGGCTGAGATCGGTGGTTTGGGGGTTTGAACCCCTAGATCTCGTAGAGGGAAAATGGGAAAACACCCCTTCACCACCAAACCACACATCCGAACCACCAACTATAGGAAGGCTAGTAACCAGGGCCATCGATTTTTCCGGGTCACCTACGGTCATCCCAAAAGGTGAGCCTCTGATTTCCGGCTGGTTAATCATTTGCCAGCGGAGTTTCTCTCGATTTGCTCAGGGCACAGGACTTGCTGGAGGGCCTTTGGATTGCCCGGAAGCTCGTGCTGTGCCTGGGGCCCAAGTTCGGCGCCGCTTGTCTCCCTGGGCTTTCCCGCAATTTCGAAGCTCCCCTTCAGCAGCCGGGTTTTGGTATCCTCTACGGACTGTTTTTGGCCCAGCCGCCCCCTCTGCAAGTTATGTTTCATTTTCGGGCCCAATGCAGGGGCCCTTACATTGTGAATGGAGGTGGGGGGTTCTTCCCAGTTCAAAGGGCAGCCCGCTGGGTTTTTCCAATTTGCAGGCAATCAGGTATCCCAAACTGGGTGGGTGCCTTTATTTCTTGGCCCCTTGACTGGTGACTTTGTTGCAGTCAGCTTGCTACCGGTGCAAGTTGCAGGCTGTGCTCTCACCACAATGTCCCTCGATTGGCCCAATTAGAATTGCATAGTTGAGGGTTTCCTCCATTTCCCTTGAATGAACCTTCAAAAATGGCAGTTTCAATGGACACAGCCAGTATCTCCCCAACTTATGTTGGGGAAATCCGGGGACAGTGTAGTGTTGTGATAACGGTAACTAGGTCCCCCAGTACTGCCCTTTTACCCTTTTTGGGGGGGAGGGTTCCCCTACTAAAATAGACTACGTACAGAAACAAGCGTACCCTTATTCTAACCTCTCTACTAGAGGACCTAGGTTAGATCTATTTGTAACGTATATGACCTTTATCTGGCAAAATGGTTCGCCAAGGGGAGCCATGGGAAGTACATGGCCCTTGGCCTGCAATGGCTCCCGTTCGACTGCGGTCATTTCGATTCGCTCCTGCCCCTTTCGGAAAAAGGCATCTGCTTCCTGCCAGCTACCGTGCGATATTGGTCCACCGATGGTGAGCTCAGAGGTGGATGTTACGCGTTACGTTCCTTTTATCATATTGTTTCATTGCATTGCTCTTGGGTGCTTCTTCCGTTTGTCCCTTGGCAGCATGCTGGCATTGAACTGAGCCCCTCTAGTGTTAAAACCCTCTAGGCCCCGTGCCGAAATTGGGTAGCAGTTCTGAGGTCCTTGTTGGTGTTGCTTCCCAAGTTCCATTGATCGCCATTTGGCTCAAGACACAATTGAGGTTCAAGATCTGATGTGTGACTGCGGATATCCGTGATTGGCACTAGGAGGAAAACAACTGCCTTGCGCCGCACTGTCAGGACTACTGGTGTGACTATCATCCCTTCTTCCTTACAACGTTTACACGGGTTCGGCTATAACGGCATCGTCCGTATACACCTTTCTACGTGGTTGGTATTGAAGCTTGAGGGTTCGGTGCACAGCGTCCCACGGGACGTCACCTTGCCGTCTCTTGACAGGTTATCAGCCGTAACTACAAGCTCTACACTGGACTGGGAGACAGCTGGTTTATTGCGGGTACAGGGACAATAAAGGAACGATAACATACACAGTACAATGGCGTCTTCGGCGAGCCCAAGTACTGCAACTTTTGGGAACAGCAGCTCAGAGGGATCCAATGGATTGATGGCTCTTCCTGCGGTGATGGATATGGTTGCAGATTCACAGGATGAACCTGGGAGCGGAGGTTCCGCGCTATTCAGCGACATATCTACTCCCACAAGATCATGGAAGCAGATCGATGTTCATCAGGAGTCGAAGAAAAGAGAATCCCCACCGAGAAGATCATCATCTTCGCCTGCGACACCACGGACGTCGCAGAAGGGCGTGAGATCGACATCGAAGGGTGGGAGGTCAAAATCACCCACCAGTGCAGATTTTCGCGCCGTGATCAAAGAGAAGAATAAGATGGAGGTGGAGATCGGGGAATATCAGAAGACACTTGATGAAATGTCGGCAGCAATGGCGAATCTTAACCAAGAAGACTATGGAAGCACCATCCGGATCCAGGAGCTGGAAAGACGATGCGAGATTGCCAGCAAGCAGTCGGGACATCTAGTGAGTCACCACCAACACCACATGGCTGAGGCATGGCGCAAGTTTGAGGAAGAAGCCCAACAGATGCGCAAGGTGGAAATGAACGCATTTCAGTACGGGGAGAAGAAAGACATGGAGTCGAATATTATAATGCAACAGATGAGGCAAGCTGAAGGAACTATCATGGAGCAGAAGCGGGAGATTGCATTGATGAAATCCTACATGGCAAGCGAGAAGTCGGCCGCGCAGGAATCA